TTTTATTTATTTGACAGAGAGAGGCAGTGAGAGAGGAAACACAAGCAGGGGGAGTGGGAGAGGGAGAAGCAGGCTTCCCGCTGAACAGGGAGCCTGATGTGGAGCTCAATCCCAGGACCGTGGGATCATGACCTGGGCCAAAGACAGATGCCCAACAGACTGAGCCACCCAGGCACCCCATGTTTTGTTAGATCTTTAGCATTCCCTCCTTCCTGTTGCTTGAAAGCTATCACCCACTGCCCATGAGAAGTAGCCTTGTGGGGTGTAAGTTCAGCCTAGTGTAATGGTTCTTTATTTTTAACAATGGAAACCAATTCAAAATGAAATTTTATGTAGAGCCCTAATCTATAAATAAGAGGAAAGTGGGACTACTTTGAAGCCTGATGGTGCAGGTCATGTACAGAACCCAAGACCACCTGTACATGGTAGTGTCTTTGTTCTTCACAGTAACTCCTGAGATATTTTCATGGGCTCCTGGGGCTTTATGGAACATGGCTTAAAACCTCACTGGTTTGGTTACTTTGGAATCTGTACACCTTTGTTAATATGTAGAAAACACCATGCAACCTTTGTTTAATAAGAGGCTGATACCAGGTTTTGCTTACCTGATACTGATTGCATCTGGGAAAGGAATCGTGCTGTCAATGAGGACTTACTTTTATTTGTAATTTTAATTGGTTTTTAAAAGAAGAGTGTATGCATATAGGACTTGTGTAACTTTGAAAAACATGACCATATTAAAAGTTAGTTACTTTTGGGGGGTGGAAACATAAGTGACTCTTACTTTCTTTGTATTTTTCTGTTTGGGGGGCTTTTGCCTCCAAATTTCTTAAAGCTAGGAACAGAATAAAAATTTAATTATTTCTTGTCAAAAAAGGGATTTCAAACTAAGGGAATCACGTTGCTCTTAAAAAAATAATTTTGGGGAGCACCTCAGTGGCTGAGTCAGTTGAGTGTCCAACTTTTGGTTTTGGCTTGGGTCATGATCTCAGGGTCGTGAGATCGAGCCCTGTGTCAGGCTCCCCACTCAGCACAGAATCTGCTTGAGATTCTTTCTCCTTCCCCCTGTTTCTTCCCCTGCCTGTGACCTCTCTCTCTCTAAAATAAATAAATAGGGGCACTTGGGTGGTTCAGTTGGTTAAATGTCCGACTCTTGGTTTCGGCTCAGATCATGATTTTATGGTCATGGGATCAAGCCTGGCGTGGGGCTCTGCATTCAGCATCGAGTCTGCTTGAGATTCTCTCCCTCTGCACCTCTCCCTGCTCATGCTCGCTCACTCTCTCTTTCTCTTTCTCTCAAGTAAATAAATCTTTTAAAAAATAAATAGTGGCGCCTGGGTGGCTCAGTTGGTTAAGTGTCTGCCTTCAGCTCGGGTCGTGATCCCGGAGTCCTGCGATGGACCCCGCTTGGGGCTCCCTGCTCAGCAGGGAGCCTGCTTCTCCCTCTGCCTGTCTCTCCCCCTGCTTGAGCTCTCTCTTGCTCACTCACTGTCTCAAATAAATAAATCTTTAAAAAATAAATAAAATCTTTTAAAAAAATAATTGTGGAAGCAGTTTCTTGTGTTTTATTAAAAATTTATTTATTTTAGAGAGAGAGTGGGAGGCGCTAAGGGAAAGGGAGAGAATCTCAAGCAGACTCCCCACTGAGCACGGAGCCCCACACAGGGCCCCATCCCACGACCCTGAGATCATGACCAGAGCCAAAACCGAGAATCAGACACTTCACCGACTGAGCCACCTGGGCGCCCCAGAAGCATTTTGCAAAAGAAACCAAAAAGCGGCGAACTGTTTGCTGGTCAGTGAGGAAGCCTTTCAGTTAGTTCTGCTGCGTTGTCATCGCAGTCCTGCTGTTTTCATCACCTTCAGGTGCCAGAACCTATGACCACCTCAAGAAGACGCGAGAGGAAGAGCGCCTTAAACGCACCATGCTCTCGGAAGTCCTGCAGTACATCCAGGACAGCAGTGCTTGCCAGCAGTGGCTCCGGCGGCAGGCTGACATGTGGGTAATTAGTCCAGGGAGGAGGGGCGTCTTCTTGGATGCTTTGGCTTTTACAGGTAGTTTCAGACATTTCCATGGGGACCCCACCCACATGGCAGAGTCGTAATAATTGGGTAGCTAGAAAAACTCAGAATTCTAATCTTAGCAGTCTGTCTCAGAAACACTGCGATACTGATAGTTTTGAGAAATATAGCCGGCCCGTAGAGGCCTACTTTGCTACTTTGATCTTTTTAAAAATTAGTACATTCCCCCACCATGCCTCCTCTTTCCACCCCATTATCTAATGGAATGATTTCCATTGGCGAATCATGTCCCTGTCATTTCCCCATGATTAGTCTCCATGATGTTCCAGACTAAGAGCTCTTCTTAACAAATCCAGACAATTTTTTTTTTTTTAAAGATTTTTATTTATTTATTTAACAGAGATAGCACAAGTAGGCAGAGCGACAGACAGAGGTAGAGGAAGAAGCAGGCTCTCCGCCGAGCAGGGAGCCTGACGCAGGGCTCGATCCCAGGACCCCAGGATCATGACCTGAGCCAAAGGCAGTCAGTTAACCGACTGAGCCACCCAGGTGCCCAATTCCAGGCGATTTCTTACACCCCACAGAACAGATCACCCTTCCTGGTTAGTATAGTGGGATATCCTGTAACACGGTACCATCTCTCTCTGCATCCCTTTAAAGTAACCAACCTGGGTCACCTGGGTGGCTCAGTTGGTTAAGCATCTGCCTTCAGCTCAGGTCACGATCCCAGGGTCCTGGGATCAAGCCCCGCATTGGACTCCTTGCTCTGCAGGGAGTCTGCCTGTCCCTCTCCATCTGCCTCTCCCCCTGCTCATGCTCTTTCTCGCACTCTCTCTCAAATAAAAAAATCTTTTTTTTCCCCTAAGATTTTATTTATTTATTTGTCAGAGAGAGAGCTGCAGGCAGATGGAGAGGGAGAAGCAGACTCCCCGCTGAGCAGGGAACCCGAAGCGGGCCTCGATCCCAGGACCCTGGGATCATGACCTGAGCTGAAGGCAGCTGCTTAACTGAGCCACCCAAACATCCCTCAAATAAAAAATATATATATTTTTTAAATAAATAAAGTAACCAACCTGATAAATGGCACCCAGTCCCCCGTGGGCTTTTGGAAATTGCCTTCTTTGGTGTGACTTAAGTTAAATTCCTCTTCTTTGTTTTAGTGATTCTGGCCTGAGCCCTTCTATTCCGATGACTTCAAATTCAGGTAATTATTTTTCAGGCTGGAGCATGTCTTGATTGTGAAGTTTTCGTTCTAGGGATTCACCCAGTAGTCCCTTACCCCTTGTGGAAGCAGGGTCCTTAGGCAGATCAGGTAAGTGTTATCCCAGTTTATAAACATCAGCAAGTTTTCAGAATCTTCATGGCCGGATAGGGATTATCTTCAGGGTTTGAGTACAGAGACAGGGAAGAAAGAGCTCCAGAGAGGTGTTTTTTGTATTTTACCAATGTTCACGAGCAGTTAGTTTACTGTGGTTGTATCTACCACAAACTTTGAGATTTGTCTCACAGGGGATCAATTAAAGGATTTGTATCCTGAGCAGAAACATGAGCTCTGATCCAAAATTGTAGTGTTTTTTGTTTTTTTTTTTGCCAGTTCTCTTGGTTATTATTCACCCCTGCTCCATATGCTAGATTAGCCACTTTCCTCTATCAGAACATACAGACCGTTCCCCTGTAGAGACAGGACTAGTGAAAAAGATGACCCAATTGCAGTGTTACCATTCTTTGGAAGCTGGAAACAATAGACCTTGTGATCCCATTTAAAATCTCTCAGATTCGGGATCTAGACAGGGCTCAGAGATGGTTACTCTAGGGATATTTTTTAAAAAATTGATTCCTTTGTTTCAGGTGATTATTTCTTAATACTTAAAAGAGAAAAGAGAGTCTTTTAGAGAGTAGTCACGACAGATAAATCCAAATTCTATTTTACAAATTTCTTACTTCTAACCCTGCCCCCCGAATCTAAATACAGAAATACAAATAAGAAAAATACAATTTTTGTGATAATTAATAATTTGGTGTTTGCATTTTTGGAACCATCCGTACTCATTTATTCTTTGTTGCTTCCTAGGCTGGTGTTAGCCTTTCTCACCCCCTGTATTTAGGTTGAGGAGACCCCTTGTTCCTCTTCATGCTCTCCGTTGCTCCTAAGGCAGTACAAAGTAGAAAGCCTGGATCATTAATTACAACCTAGCCTCTGGTAACTTTGGTGAGGTACCAGATGATTTTAGTCTCCCTTTTTGAGAACTTAGGGGAAGGCTAGCCCTACTGGTTATGGAGAAGCTTTTATTCGCTTATTGATACTACAGAGAAGCCTGTTTTCTCTCAGAGCAGCCTGTAACACTCCCTTCCTATTTCTCTCCACCTCCTAAAAGGCAGCCCCCATAAAACTTGGTTAATACATTATTCTACATTTTCTTTTGCCTAACTCAGCCCACCTATCTCCCAACTGAACACTAATCCGAAATATATATTCAAAACAAAAGCAAAAATTTTACACATGAAACTTACCATCCTGGGCAGTGACCTCATACTTGGGTTTCTTTCTCAGTATGTGAGTTCACCTCAGCTTCTGGTTTGCCATATAATGGCTCATTGTTCCTCTGTGTGGATCTTTCAGGTAAACAGCGCTTCTTTGGAAGGAACAGATATTCCCTCAGATAATAAATAAGAAGGGCCTTTTGCTGGCCTAACAGTCTGTCTGCCTTTGATCCAAAAGCAAATGGTACTTGGTTAATTACCGTGTTTGCCTTGCGCTCCTGGCAGAGTCCTGAGGGCTGGGAAGGGTCTCTCCTGTGGAGCTCTTTCCATTCATCAGCTGTCGGGGCGGGCAGCGTATGACTGTTCTTCACTGGGTGACATCTGGGCTTTAGAGTTTAGAATCTTACTGGGTTGGAAAGAGTAGCAACTGGGTTGCTAGGGTGTATGTGATTGTGTATTTTAGCAGAGCAAAGGGCACGTGAATTAGCACTTGTATTTTCAGGCGAACATTGGGGTGCCCATGTTGCCAACTAGACTGAGGCCTGAGGTGATGGGTAGAGATTTCTTAGAGCTGGACATTGTGACCTTGTACCTCACTGGCCTGGTTGCAGTGGGCTGTGTTACTTCACACCTGAGGAATTGTCACTCCTCTGAAACACATACCTTTTTCTGTGTCTGTAGGTAGACGAAGTGCACCGCCCTTGAACCTCACTGGCCTCCCTGGCACAGAGAAGCTGAATGAAAGAGAAAAGGAGGTAACAAAGAGGAGGGGAGCTAGAGGAGCCAGGGTAGGGTTGATTATGACATATAAATCTAGATAATGGCCGCCGTCGTTCATTGAGCATTACCACGTACCAGACACTGTACTAAGTGCTTCATGTGAATGAAATTGTTTATAAACCTAAAATAACTTGTATATGAAAATGGTTATTTCCTATTAGAATGGTCACTTTGATGAGCTCTACATTTATCCCAACAGTATAACCATCACTTAAAAGATTGTCTCCAGAGCATGTATGTAAGCCATAAGTAAGGAACTTCATCATCACATATAGTCATATACTAATTTTGATTAAAAATGCCATGACCTACTTTTCTTTTCCACTAAAATCATCAGACTTGTCTTCATATTACTTTTGGCTGTCTCAAAAATTTAAAGCCAGCCTCAAAGGAGTCATCCTCAAGCATTTTCCAAAATATGTGCCTAGCTCTGAAGTCCATTCCAAAAGAGGAACCCTCTTCTGTTCCTCATGTGCTCCTTTTACAGTTCCCAAGATCAGTCTCCCCATCTGCCACTCCATATCATTAATTCAGGTCAGACAGTAAGGGGAGTCATGGAGTGGGGGCTGTTAGTCTTTGGTTTCAGCCACCAGGAACAGTAAAGATTAGTTTGGGAATAGAGAGGAGTGTATGTTCTATTTCAGTATTGCCGAAGGAGGTCACAGGCCTTTCTGAGTCAAGTATTGAATGGCCGGGAGTTTCAAGCAGTTTTTATCCTTACCCACAAGCAGTGACCTCACACTGCTCATTGCCCTGGGCTGCCATGGCAGGTGAACCAGGACTGAGCCAGCTTTCTAGACTTTTAGCAGCTGAAGTAGCCTCTTTGCAAGGTCTGTATCTCCTCCTCCTTCAAAGTAGGAAATGTAATCACAAAAGCAGGGATGACTGCTTTATGCCGATACTAAAAATAATGTGATTTACACTTGGAAATCCAAGTATCTGCACCCCCGCCCCTACTGTGTCCTGTGGCTCTTCCCCGACTGGCTGTGTTGAAATGTGCTGGGCCGAGAGCTATGTGGACCCAGGCTGCTCCTCAGGACACATACTTGTGCTCCTTGACAGACCCAGGTGAGCCTGCCGACAGGTGCTAAAGTCTCTCTCAGCATCACACTCTGGCTTTCTCTTCCTAAGTGTCTGTCATCCAAGGAAGAGACTAAATGGAATGTGGTCCAGCCACCCAGCAGCTCCTATAAATAGTTGGAGGTTGATGTCACTTTTTAAATTTTACTTTGGCTATACCTACAGGATTAAATTATGAGAATGACAGATGTTAATGTTTATTAAATTTGCCATGTCTTGCAGCTCTGTCAGATGGTGAGGTTGGTCCCAGGAGCCTATTTAGAATACAAATCTGCTCTATTGAACGAATGTAACAAGCAAGGAGGCTTGAGACTGGCGCAGGCAAGAGCACTCATCAAGATAGATGTGAACAAAACCCGGAAAATCTATGATTTCCTCATCCGAGAAGGATACATCACTAAAGCCTGAGGCTCTGAGGGCTTCGGATCAGAAATCACAAATTTGGAATGTGGTAGGCCAAAGGACAGCACGGGCATTCTGGAGAGTTTCATTGCTGAGCTGAGTTCTCATTGTAGAAAGAGAGGAAGGACAAAGGGAACCTTATGTTGTATTAATATCTACTTTCTTTTCCACCCTGCTTTAAAACACTCCTGTTGTTGGTGTTGTGCTGCAAAGTTATGTGCTAGATAAGCTATTATTAAATGTGAGTGGGCTTTTATTCCCAACACCTCTTGTAACTAAAACAAGAACCATAGTACCTCACATCAGAGTGTCGGTAGAAATAGAACTGAAGCAGTCTGTAGTCCTGGGAGTCCAGCTCAGATCTTTATACTTGGGAGGCTGGTTTTCTGATTATCTGTTTTGCCTCCAAACATTACAGAAAGATCTAAAATAAAGAGAAAGGTTATAGAGCATGAGAAGGCTTTCTCTTTCCTTCTGAGGATTTTTTTAAGCTGATGACTTACGTTTATGAGCAAATGGGAGGAAAAATCTCCCCGTGATAGTCTTGTCCCAAACTACATCTTTCCCTTTTAATGTCTGGCTTTGTACTTGACTGTCTAATCTGCAGTAGACTCTTGAGGAGGTGGCACCGGATATAAAATGTCTCTGTTATTTTTAGAATTAATGGATTAAAATGTTTTGCTACCTAATTTGTGGGTGTGTCAAGTATTCTGGTAACTAAAGCACACTTAGGGTGTTGAGTGCCCGCCTCATCACGCTGCACTGTCTCTGCTAACATGTGTGTCTTGGGGTCACCCTGTTCTTACCCTGGGTTTCCCAGGATACCAGTCCCCTGAGGATGGAGATGACACAGCTAACCTCGGCTTTGCTTGGATTGAGACCTGAACCCTAATTTCTCAGTGGTGACAGGCTAGCCTGCAATAAAAGCAACTTTTAGGGACCCCTCGGTGGCTCAGTCGTTAAGCGTCTGCCTTCGGCTCAGCTCATGATCCCAGGGTCCTGGGATCGAGTTCCACATCGGACTCCTTGCTCAGTGAAGAGCCTGCTTCTCCCTCTCCGTCTGCTGCTCCCCCTGCTTGTGCTCTCTCTCTCTCTCTGACAAATAAATAAAAATCTTTAAAAAAAAAAAAGAATATTTAAAAAAAAAGCAACTTTTAAAACAAAAGTAAAGCAGTTCATATATGGGACTCACTAGATAGGAGGGTGAGTAACCCCACCACATCTGAAACTTGATCCTCAAACCTTTCTACAAAATAAGCCACACATGGAGTCATGGTTATCCCATTTCTGTTAGAAGCAAAGTTGTATGTAGAAGTAACTTGAGAATCTGCACAAATTGCCTCCGGTAGCTGAATGATTCTTCAATTCTTTCAGCATTCAACATATCTAAGTAAAATATTATATGCTTTGTTGGAAATATTTGCTCAAATTTTTTGACTCATGTAAATATGCATGCTTACCTGGGGGTTGCACATGAAAAGGAAACTCTTAGGATCTGAGGGAATTAGAATAAAAGACTTCAATCTTGAGAAAGGGTGACTTGTGGAAATGCTGTCTTTTCTTTGCATTGTCATACCTCTTAGAAAATGTGCTCTGCCACCACCATCACCCCTACTTGGTTATAAAGGGATTTCCTCTTGTTCCTGAAAGGTAATTCCTGTTCTAAAAATTGGGGATGCCTTAGACACCAAGGTTAGGTGGTGTCTTGTAGTCCCAAGAGTCCTTAGTCTTGATTAAGGAAGGCTCCCTGGGACAGGTGAGCTCTTGAGGCAATGAGAGGATTGGGAGGAGAGAGAGAAAGTGGCAGATGGAAGTGGGAGACTGTTGCAGACATAGTGGGTGGAGGAGGATGTGGAGGCAGCAGTGGGATTGAGGAAAATGATGCCAAGAGGTTTAGTTGGCGAGGACACAAGGGGCAGCTGGAGTAGTTAGGAGTGGGAGGTTGGGAGGACAGTCTGATAGAAACCTTGGAACCAGTCAAACTCTGAAAAAACTGATGGGGTCGGGGAGGGATCTAGATTTGATGAGGAAAATGGCATGGTTGAAAATAGTGATAGAAAAATCAGGCTGTAATTTCAGATGATTAGATTTTAGGAAGTAGGGTTATTATTGTGGTAAGCCCAACTCTACAGAATTTATGACCTAGAATCCCTGGTAGGTTTCTCAAAGATCAAGCCATATTTGGGGTAAGGGCTACTCTTCAGTCAGAGTCGCCATCTTTTTGCACTTACAGTAGAAAAGCACTTGCTGATATTTGACTCGGCTGGTGTACGTACACTGTTTCCTTCTATGTTCTTACCACCAAAGGAGGCCCTTCTTGTTACTCAAAATTCAGAGCTAGCAAAGGCCTTAAAAGTGTATTCCGTCCTTCCCCTTTGCTGCTAGACAGAGTTGGCTGTAAACCAACTGTACTGGTCGAGGTCTCTCTTAGTCCCTATCATTCTGAAGAGGGAGCATTTACTCAAACTCAGTGACATCAATACTTTTTACTGTTAGGAATTTTTATTGCAATTTAAAGTTAAAGGTTTCTGCTGGAATTTTAGATATGTCCTTTTCTGCCAGGGGTGGGAAATAAAGATTAAATTTCTTCCCTTGTCATGACACTTTCCATGCTCAAAGATCTAGACTCTCTTCAGACCAACTTAATTAACTCCATGGTTTATCTCTTTTTGGGTTCCAGTTTTCATCCTTTTCTTGTTTACAGTACCTCCTGTGTTCCTCTCCCCCCCCCCCCCATTTAAATCTGAACTCAGCTAACTAACCTGTCCTTGCAGAGAGGTAAGAACAACCTTCCCAGTTTTGAGTCATGAAACCAGCTTGTGGTCAGCCAGAAAGGGGAGAAGACCAATGACATTCATCAACAACAACAAAATCCCAGTTGGTAAGTCACTCCAGCTTTAGGAACTCTGTAGCTATGTAATAAGAGAACTAAAATGTCCAGTGTAAAGAATCAGAGACCCAAATTGTAGAGAGAAGCTTGGAAAAACTCGTCCGTAGCACTCTTCCACTTATCTCTGGGTAGGAGAGTGGTGCTGTGTTCTAAATAGTATCCTGGAATACTGCCCATACATTTTTAAGGATGTCTTTGTGGGTACCTTCTAGATATACGCTGTATTACTGTTAACGCAAAAAGCCTTTCCACAACTCCTATGTACCTGGTTTTTCATTTGTCTGAATTTTTTTTTAAAGATTTTATTTAATTATTTGACAGCAAGAGAGGGAACACAAGCAGGCGGAGTGGGAGAGGGAAAAGCAGGCTTCCCGCTGAGCAGGGAGCCCGATGTGGGGCTCGATCCCAGGACTCTGGGATCGTGACCTGAGCTGAAGGCAGACACTTAACGACTGAGCCACCCAGGCGCTCCATCGTTTGCCTTAATTTCTAAAAATTAAAGTTTGGTTCAGGAAGTACTGATCTGGAAGTTTTTGCTTTCCTTCCTAGTATGCTTAGCCAGCTGTGGTTAACTTCTCCCTGACCTGCTAGAAAGGGACACAGCCATGCCTGTAGCCTTGTGTAGGAACTAAGACAAAGAATTTCTCAATCAGACATAATAACCACCTCTTCTGAGTGCGATGTGAGATCGAGCTGGATCTCTGATTGCAAACAGGGTCAGAGCAGCCTGGATAGGATAGTCATGGGCATGCCGACATAGGCACTTAATTTGCGAGAATAGTAAGTGAGCATTTAGTGAATATTTTGGAACCTAAATAGCCTATCCATGTAGTATGCACCAGAACTTAAGTTTGCTGCTTTTGAGGAGTTGGGGGCTGGGAGGCAGGGACAGGTGAATCATTTGAGAAGCCAGTTTGTAAATCTAATGGAAGGGAGTTCTTTTTCTGTTCAGTTTTGCCTGCTGCCTTGGGTTCTGTCAGTTGAGATGCGCCATGGTAAGAGTATCGGCTGCTCTTTGATTTGACCAGGCTTACAAGTCAAGAGACAGGTATGTAAGGGAAGCGTGATTGTCTTAACATCTGACATTAAAAGTCTTTGTCACGATGAGTTACTTGCTTTTTAAGTATTGTGTACTGGGCCCTCTTCCCTGTTAGGAGCAGGAGTAATGAGGAAGTTGAGATAAGAATCCAGAAAGTGACCATTAAAAGGTTTAAAACCCAAAACAGAGCTACAAAAAAAAAAAAAAAAAAAAATTGATTTAATAGATGTACCTCCCTTTGTCTTTGCAAGCCCTATTGTTAACCTTTGCCGGCCCAGACTTGTTAGATGTCTTTCAGGGCTGGATAATTAAGTCTGAGGCACTTATTTTCTACTTTGGAGCACAGGAGGTGGATTTCTGTGGCACCACACTAATTATTTGGTTGAATTAATCATTCTTAACCAAGCAACACTTTTTTTTCTTGGCTTGCTCTGGTTTACCCTGAGGTCTTCCGTGGAAGCCTGCTAATAATCCTGCCTTGGTCTAGAGTTTTGTTGAACAGAAGTAGCATCTTAGGAAGTGTGGAAAGGAGGAGACCTCATAGTTGTTTTAAGAAACCAGCACTTTATTAATCAAAGTAAAAATGCTGAAATGCTGTCATCACCCTTCTTCAGTGAACTGACAGCCAAGTTCCAAGTCATGACACTTGTAATGTGTCTCTCTTCTCCTTGGAGAGCTGTCTGCCAAGTATATACTCTGTTTCTGAAATTGTTTGCAATGACCTAACCTTCTCTTTTCTCCCATTAAACAATAGATAACTCCTGATTTGGATTTTCCCCTATGATCACCCTTCATTTAGGGAATTCCTTAAAAACATAAAAATGTATTATTTTAAGAAATAAATTAATGGAACCTGCACTGGGGAGCTTAATTTTAAAGATTTTATTTATTTGACACGGAGAGAGAGGGAGAGGGAGAAGCAGACTCCCTGCCGAGTAGGGGGCCTGATGCGGACTCGATCCCAGGACCCTGGGATCGTGACCTGAGCCGAAGGCAGACGCTAACGGACTGAGCCACCCAGGTGCCCGAGTGCTTAATTTTTTAATGTTCCCAATCAGTGTCCCCTATGAGAAAACATACTGAATTGGGGCTAAGTGTCTTATGTTTTATGTCCGTTTTCAATCTTAGGATGTTGTCTAAGATGAGAAGGGCAATTTCCAGGGTTATTTAATAGCTTCCCCCCCCACACCCCAGAAATATTGAAAAGGAGTGAAGAGTTCAGAAATGCCATGAAGACACTAGCTCCCAAGTACCAGGGGCCTGAGGGGTGGGTGGACTGATCTGAACTCTCCGTAGAGAAGTAGGGGGGCAGCAGGGTTCCCACCCTGACCCCGTGGGAATTTGCTGTCTGCTGTGGAGAGGTAGAACGGTTCTTCATACAGTATCCTGTTAGGAGCCTCTTTTTAACCAAGGACAGGCTGCAGCAAAAAAAAAAGCCACTCTATTGGGGGCAGGAGCCAGAGCCCTTATTTTTTTTTTCCTCAGAGGAGAGCACTTTGATTTATTTTTACCAGAGGGTATTTTACCTAAGCTCTAGCCACAGATTCGTGACAGCAACGTCAAGCTTACCTGGCAGCCCTCCTCCCCCACCCCACAAAAATCTTTGCCTTGTTTCTGGCGTGCACGGTTTCAGATTCAGGACACCTGTCAGATCGAAGTCAGCATAGGTTTAGCTTCACAATGCAAAGCAAAATGCTTTTGAGAGCAAAATCTCCCAGGAGTGCCTCCGCCCCCAGCAACTGCAGAAAAGAAGGCGT